AGATCGCTTGAGCCCAGGAGTTGGAGGTTGCAGTGAGCTATCATGATGCCATGACCCTCTACCTGGGGTGAAAGAGTTGACTCTGTCTCAAAAAGAAAAAAAAAAGGAAATGAAATCCCCTTTTTGCTCCCGTTTCATAAAAAAGAAAAGAAGAAAAAAACCCAGTTTCTAAGTAACTTGACTAGCTCTCTGAACAAAGTTCAAGAAGATTCATGGGAATACAAAAATGTCCAGTATCCAGCAATCAGAGAAGCAGGAAAATACAGCTGTCTGTAACAAGGGAGACAAACCACTGAAAATACCCCCAAACTGACACAGATGTTAGACAAGGTCATTAAAACGGTTATTATAACTATATTCCGTATGTTCGAAAAGCTAGTGAAAAAAACTAAGCATGCTAAGTAGAGCTATGAAAGATATAAAGCATCCAATTTGAACTTCAGAGATGAAAACTACAACATCTGAGGTGAACAGGATACTGGATGAGGTTAACAGCAGGTTAGCCTCGGTGAAAGGAAAGACTGGTGAACTTTAGGACATGACAATGGAACTATCAAAATGAGGCAGAGTAAAAGCAATTTAAAAAAAACGAGAGCAGCATCAGTGAGCTCTGGAATACTTCAAACACCTCATATATGTGTAACTGGGATCCCCAGAGAAGGCGGAAGGAAAAAACATATAAGAAATAATAGGTGAAATTTTTCCAAATTTGATGAAAACTATCTATAAACCCACAGATTCTCAACAAATTCAAGCAGCTCACCAAACTCCAAATACAAGAAACATGAAGAGACATGATAATCAAAGTGCACAAAACTAGTGAAAAAAAGGAAACCTTTAAAGTAGTCAGAAAAAAAAAGACATGTGATGTACAGAAGAACCAAGAGAGGACGACAGCAGACTTCCTGGAGAAAGCGTGTCAGCTGGGAGACGGTGGAACGGCACCTTCCGGGTGCTAAAGGAAAAGAAGTCAGCCTAGAATTTTATACCCGGCAGAAGGAGCTTTCAAAATAGATGGTGACATAAAGAATTTTCAGACATACACAAGCTGAAAGAATTCATCACCAGTAGGCACACTCTACAAAAAAATATTAAGGGAAGTCCATGACATTATGGAGAAGCACTGAAATGCAAGCTGTTCTGACTCTCTCAGTCAACAACTAGAGACTGATCTCGGGCAATCAGATCAGGCAGGGGTGGTCCCAAAGCATTAATGCGTAACATCTGCTTCCAGTAACAGCTGTGATGAACATTACTCTGATGAAGAAAAAAAAAACCTTCCTGTGGGAAATAAGTGTCAATGAAATTCCTTCTCTATGAGGATGGACTAGGGCTATATACACAAGCTCACAGAACGAGGTGCTGCCAAATTTCCATTGGTTACAGATCCAATTTCTGCTCCTGTTTTCTCTGAAAAAGTGCTGCTGTTTCTGCAATAAAAGAATATTCCATTTACCACACTAATTAAGGAACTCATAATAAAGTGCTGATACAACTTTCTCTTCAGGAGAGAAAAATCATGTGAGTACCTCTGAAGGACACCAAAAGATGTTTTAATTTTGGTTTCCTACTGTAAACCTAGACCAGATAAAATAAAATAGAAGGTGAGGGTTTCAAGGGCCAGCAGAGGGTAGTGAATTAATTGACAGGCACCGAACAACAGGTGAGTCAAATCTCAGAAAGGACAGAATCAAGGAAGCAGGTGGGATATTCCAGAGAAGAGGCAGTGGGGACAAACCTAGGATGGACGCAGCAGTGACAATCAGAAAGCGAGGACAAAAAAGTCATAACCAGATGCACAAGAGTCAGGAGTGGGTGTCAGGTCATGTGGGGTTCATGTGGGTCAGAAGTTCAAGGACTTTGAAAATTAATTACATACAGCACATATATAATATTTTCTTCTTATGTAGGATTTTATATCACCCCGTAATAACTGAGATTAAAAACCTGGGATGAAAACCTGGTGTATAATTTCAGCTTAAGTGCCCTGCACTTACACAGCACTCATTACCACTTCTATATGCCAGAAGGGCAGAATACGAGATCAGATCAACAACTTTCATCTCCATGGAGATCTCTAGAATTACATACCAAGGGAGGCGGGGAAAAAATAATGAATATTTTAAGGGTCTCATGAAGAAAGCCACAACCCATGAAGGCTGAGGCTATTGCGTATTTACTGACTTGGGCCACACGAAGCACCACTAGAGGCAGACGCCTCTTTTTCTAACCACGGCTTTGTGTGATGTTCTTTTACCAACTTTGTAGCGCTTACACTCAAGTAATGAGAAAACGATGACTGACTCTGGCCTGCACATTTGACAGGCTATCCAAAACCTCAGACACCATGTTCCTATTATGTACGATCTAAATGAACACAGAAGGGCAGGCAAGCAGTGACTACCAGGATATGAAATCACGTGATGTCCCGAACACATTCAATTTTGCAACTTGGAAGAAAGGCATTCTGCTTCACAGCATACACTAGCACGTGGTTTTAAAGTACTCACATAGCAAAAAGAAGTGGTTTCTAAACTTTGTGCAACCACTGATTGCTTGGGTAACTTTGGACAATTCATGAAACCCTTCCTAGGTTTTATTTTCTCAACCAGCTACTAATATTGGAGGCTCCCTCGAAAAGTCTTAATACTAAAACCACATTTGTTTGAGAGCATGAATCAATACTGTTCCTTCCCTTCAAAACTGGTCATACAATTTTACCATCTGATATGGAAAACTCCAGCTCACACTAAGTCGTGCTGACGTCCTCCGACACAGCAGCATTCAAAGTGCGACCTGTCGGCCAGTATCAGCTCACCACTGTTAAGGTCTGGGGACGGATACGTCTGAAACTAAGCAAGCATCTGGAAAGCAGTTAGATACAATAATTTTGTATCTACTGAGTCAAAATAACAGGCCAGGTGTGGTGGCTCATGCTTGTTATCCTAGGACTCTGGGAGGCCAAAGCTGGGGGACTGCTTGAGGTCAGGAGTTCGAGACCAGCCTGAGCAAGAGCGAGACTTCCCCGTCTCTACTAAAAATAGAAAAATTAGCCAGGCGAGGTGGCGTGTGCCTGTAATCCCAGGAGTGTGAAGTTGCAGTGGGCTGTGATCACACCATTGCACTCTAGCCCGGACAACAGAGAGAGGGAGAGACCCTGTCACAAAATAAACAAATAAATAAATATTTAAAAATAAATCTTTGGGGCTTGTAGTCTGTATGACTTTATGTACCATTTTGCTTTTCTAGCAATTCATCTGAATTTTCATTGTGTTTTACAGAAATTCATGACAGATTAGAAATAAAAAAATATGGTCTTTCACCACTGATAACTGGAGAGGTCCCTAAGAGCTGACGGAACTGAACACGAGGAAAGTCCTCGATGCAGGAACTGCCCTCTGGTAAGAGCCTAGGGACAGCGCCATCTCAGATGCAGGGCCCCGCGGCTGGGCCCTGCGGGCGGCGCCGGCACCCGCGGCAAGCTGAGCGCGCTCACACTTGATGTCGCAGCCGTCTGATGAAAACCAGACATTTCCGTAGCATTCAAAAAGTAAGCTTAGGAATTCTAAAGAATGCCAAGGAAAATTATTATAAAGACATGGCAGTTTTTTAGAAACAGTAGACGTGAAAAAGATTTTTTAAATTGAACTAATAAAACCTTAATTTCTCCCTAGATTTTTAGAAAAAGAACCCAGACATTCAATAGTTTCTCTTCAGGTCTTCTTTTGCCTGGAAGGAGGAACGCAGCAGCAAGGGACGAGCTCTGACTCAGGGCGCCCCTGCCCCTGCCCCTGCCAGCGGTGGCCCATCGCGTGGGGGCTCCAGCGATGCCCAGCTCCTGACGGGAGCCTGGGGACAGGTCGCTCCAAGGCAGCAGGGAGTAAGGCTGCTGCTCGGCTGGCTCGGCGACAGGGGGACCGTCCCAGATCATCCCCGTGAGCCCAAGGTAATCACAGGGGTCCGTCAACACAGAGGAGCAGGCAGGAGAGTCAGAGAAGATGTCAGCACTGGGTGATGCGGCGTGAGCCTCGACCAGCCACTGTGGCTCTGAAGATGGAAGAAGCCACAAGCTAAGGACCGTGGTGGCCCCTGGAAGGTGGAGAAGGCAACGAAACGATGTCCCACGAGAGCCTCCGGAAGGAATGCAACCCTGCCCGCACCTTGATTTTAAGCCCAGAGAAACCCTGTCAGGCTTCTGACCCATAGATCGTAAGATAACAAATCTGTGCTGCTTGAAGCCACTAAGTCTGGGGTCATCAGTCAACAGCAACAGGAAACGAGTTCACCTGGCCACGTCACCAGGCACGTGGTAGGCGCTCAACAAATCCACCGAGTCTGTGTGCCTGGGAAGGCTCTTTGACCTCGGAAGGCCTGAGGCTCACGTACTGTGCTCAGGCGCTGGCCTTTGTGTGCACAGCGCAAAAGTCAGGGGGACAGCCCGCGCCCCTGACAGCAAATACGTTTCCAATTATCTAGTACCTTCTAAAAATCTTAATAAAAGGGAGGGGTTTTGTTTGTTTGTTTTAAACAGGATGAAAAGAGAAGAACTGGCTAAAAAAACCCAGTCCAATATTTTTGAGTAGGAAAAGTCAAAATCACGTTCAGTCTTAGTTCAATGGAGCATTCATGCATCCACGGCTGCTTCCCTGTTCTCAGAGATGCCTGCAGCTCCTGCCCTCAAGACGGGACGCCCTGCCCAGACTCCTGCATTGCGTGCAGCTGAGTGGGTCACGATCCTGCAACCCGCGCACACCGGCCTTACTGCATGAGACATGCCCAGCAAAACACATTTACCAACCCTTCTAGTTAAAATGTGATTTTTTTCATGCCTATTTAATGTGTCTTTGCGAGGCTAAAACAATAATTGCAGATTTAAACTAAGCTATTTTATATTAGCAGCAGTACTTTCATATTGATGTTAAATACGAAAGAGGCCCTGGTCTTCTTCCGTGAGCAAGAGTCTCAAACACGTCATCCCCACCATCCCTGCCCGACCTCACCTTGTCACAGAAGACCTTTATCTGGCAGTAGGCCCTGTGCACTGGCTTGTTGCTGCGGTTGTTGTAACTGTAGGTGTCAATTTGAATGTTAAGAGGCAACCCCTTCACGCCCTTCTGAGAAGAGAAATCTGTGCTCAAGCAGTTCACAGAGATGAAAACCTGCAAAGGGAACAGAAGGCTCCATAAGCAACAGGCACCAAAAGTCAATACAGCGCAGCTTGTGAAAATACTGACATTGCTAAATTACTCAAACATCTTCTATGAGAAACTTTTAAAAAGAGGCAATAAAGAGTTTACTTTGAAACTACTTTAGGTTACAGGAACAGCACTCTTTGAAGTGGAAGAACAGATAGCAACTCTGAACCTCTGTTCACTTCCCCTGCCAGAATCTCTATTTAACATCAGCTGGGACAAGTTTACGAGGTGGTGGCCTGACGTCATCTTCCAAAGTTACCGGCAGCATAGCTTTCTCTGCAGCTGGATCACAACTTAGTACAAACTCACTGGGAATTCACCTATGTTTATGTTGATACCACCTCTTAGGACAACCTATAATACCCTATATCCTTAATATTTTAGAGCTTACGGAATCTGTGTTCCTCTAATCCACCTTTTTATGATTACATGATTCCAATGAAGCTCTTTCTCAATCCCTGTCTATCCGGACTAAAAAGTCTTAATTTTTTTGCAGTTTGTCTTTTTGATTATAGAATCATATTGGGCCCAGTCCTTAGGAAATAATTTATAATTTACAATAATTTCAACATCTCCATTCCGAGTGGTCACCATCAGCTCAAGGGTCTTTTCATTATTTCAATACCAATTAGATTCTTATCTTTAACATGCCCAGGTTAACACTAAGATGAAAGTGGTCAGGTTTGCTAACAGGCTGAGAATTTAATGACCACAAACACTAACAAATGCACTCCTCCTTCGAGGAAGTTCTGCATAGACGTGGCCAAGACTTCCTAGGAGAATAACCCAGGGAGGTATTATGCTGGTGAGTCTGTTTCCATGAAAGAAAAACCCAGTTCTTTGAGCAGCAGAGAGGGTTCCACTAGCCAAACACAGGACAACGCCGGAGGAAACTGTCCAAACCAGGCTTTCAGGCTGTCAACCCTGGTTTCAAAAGTCTGTTCTCTGTGTCGGTGCTCAAGCCACCAACAGTCACCCAGACTGTTCCCAGGGCGGCAGGTCTGCCCCACTGCTCGCACGTCAGCAGTCACATGTGTATCAGCGACACACTGAGCAGGCGGGAGTCTCTCCAGGCAGGAGTCTCCTCTTTCAGAGGGGAATCAGAAGATGCTGAACACTCTTCTCCTCTCCCTGTCCTGTTTATCTCCCAGTAAGTTTTCCCCAAAGTTAAAATGAACTGTCGCATGGTAAATGTGACTCTGGAAGTTGTTATTAATACTCAGAGAACCCCAGAGTACAGCAAATTAACATGCTCTGTTTTCTTCCTGTTTTTGTCATTCTGGATTTTTTTATGTTTTTGAGCTCCCTTTCAGCTAGTTCTAGAATTTATTTCTGGTGCAACAGCACCACACAGTGGACATGACTGGAATTACAGTTTTAAAAACTAAGGCTGGCACATCTCCAAGACCCTTATAAGCAAGACACGATTCCTTCTAGACGGTGGGTCAGCAACTCCCTCAGGCCCAGCACCCAACAACAGGTTTACCACAAGCAGCACTGGGTGTCACTGGCCCGACTAAGATACAGATGGGGATAAGTTTTGTTATTGCAGGAGGTGATAAGAACATTAAGATGAAAGAGAAGGGAGTAAGAAGAGGAAAAAACAGAATCCCAGGGACACCAAACATTCTCAGGAAGGTATGCAAAACGCTGAAGTAGGGTTCCCAGCCTTGCTCTAGTCTAGACACTGTTTCTAAGCAGGAAAAGACCAAAACATCCTTAAAAGACTGAGGCTTTGCCCAAGTTAACAGATTTAAAAGTCATCTCAGACAGTGTCCTCATTGTCTCTGGGATGCACTTTGCACACTCATTCCTGCCTCCCGGACCTTGCGTGCTTCCTGCTCCTGGCTTCCCTGTGTGTCCAGTCAGGCCCCCACCCCCACCCCTCTGGCCCCCTCCATGTGCAAAGGCCACCCCACACGTGGTTCCCTTCACGCAGCACACAGACTGCTGGCGTCCGGGACCTCAGTGCATCAGCACCACCGCCCTGGTCTCTTCCTTTTACAGCCGAAGCCCAGAAAGATGTTTAAAGTTGTCCCGAGGTGGAAAGCAAGTGAACTGGGAGGACTCTCCCCACTTCCCACACTGCTGCCTCTCTGCCACCTGCTCGATTCCCTGGATGATCCCGGGTCCCACTACCTGGCCGGGCTGCATTTGACACGCACGGGCTTCCCTCCCTGGCGAGACTGTCGGTACTAACAGTTAGCAGGCCGGGTCTGTGCTCTGTGCTTTGTCCCTTTTGACACTCAGTACGGCGCCTTATCCTGCCTGCCATGATTTTTCTTTCCATTTAACTTATTCCCAGTAAATAAGCAAATTGCTGTAATTTTAAAAATGCCTAGACCTAAAGCCAGCCAATGAAACACCTGAACGTGTTTCTGCAGAAAGTTTTGAAAAGTTGGCAACAGTAAAGCCATGTTACCAGCCTTTAAGGACATTAAAGTTGTTAAGATCCCTGAAAATGGCTGTAACAAATTTTAATTATGGGAATCATTTTCTTAAGACACAGCTAATTATAAAGCTTCACTATAACTAGTACTAAGAACTTAGTGAATTTCTAAATGTTAAGGAATTGCATGTAATTTTTTTAAAGCACTATAACAAAGAATTTCAGGCCAGGGATGTCATTGAAGAGTACTTCAAATACAAGAAACGAACAAATAAAACTTTGGCTCACCTTCCTCAAAACAAACAGAAAACTATTAATAGATGTAGATCCAGATATACAGGCAAAAGGTGGCACATGTGGATTTCAACAGCATTATAGAAAATATGTACTGTGACTTTGTATCTTTTCTTACCTACTTTAAAGAAACACTTAGTCTATAATCCATAAATCCACAAATCAGAGGTAGGGAGACAGTGGACAGAACACATTTATGTTAAAAAAGAAAAGAAGAAAGTAGTCCTTGCAAACAACTGAGCACACAAAAGTAACCAAACCACCATATTTTTCATTTTACAACCAAATAGAAAAATCCACACTTTTCTGTCATTCTAGGCCACGTGGCTCAACTCCTAACTCAAAAACTGCTGCCTGGGAAAGTTAGACTTTACCTTCAACAATTCCAGGAAGCCCGGCCCAAAGTGATATTCCGTTAACAAGAGGATTTCATGGTAATCCAACCCAAAAGCTAACCCTCCCCTTCTGCCCCAGTATCAAGTTTCTATTCAAAGCAAAAGTAAGCAGGAGCCAAATCCCAGGATCAGCATACATACGGAGCCTACAGGAAGGCTTTACTCTCACCAGTGTTCACGGTTACGTGCAATCTCTTCCTTTTATACGTTTTGCTGTTACTTAAAAATCAATTCTTTCCAAACCTGGCAGTTTTCTAAATTTTTATTTAAGGAAGTTTACGGCAGTCCTAACTCGGCATTTAAAAAAATGCCACTCGCCTAGATAAATACACAAATATACCAGTAAATAGTAACAAAGATGTGGCATATGAGCACGAAGGCCAGGGACATGAGGACCATGGACGGTGGGTTGAAGACCCCAAGAAAGGAAAACAGGGGCAGTGCTCACGAGGCCTCCCACAGCAGGACCCAGGGCAAGAACACCCAAGGCCGCACAGCCAAGGGGACGAGCTGTGCTGACGGGACACAGGCGCCACGCTTGCCTCACCCAGAGGCTGCAAGGGCAGCACCGTGCCCGTGTTCTGTCCCAGCAAGAGGTCAGAGAGGTCAAGTGCTCACTAGACGCCGCTCAGGTCTGCAGATCAAGGCATCTGAGTTTGGTCCCAGCTCTGGCCTAACTAGCACTCGACCCTGGGCGACAAAAGGGTGGGTGAGTTAGATGATCTTTAGATCACTTCGATCTCCAGACGCCTACGATTATATATTTATATTGAAAGAGGATGAATCCCGTATCCTTACTCTGTTTTCTTACTGGTGATAATTTTGTGTGATACATTTACCAATCAACTTTTTACAAGTCACAGTGTTTTAAAAGTGCCATGTAAGGTTGCCATTTACAGTAGCCATAGTAACTACTTACATAAAATTAAGATTCTCACACAGCACTGGCTTTCAAAGATCCCGTGCCCGCCCCCATCTCACTGAATCAGAAAATGCAGGGGAGGCTGCGGGGGTCGAGCTTTCCAGGTGGTTCTATGTGAGTTTGAGATGCTCATCTATGAAACTGCTTCACAGCCCTGACTGAACGAGAAATCACCTGGGAGAAGTTAGCACCGTACCAAGGCCTTGGCCACACCTCTAGAGAATCCAATTTCATTCTAGAACCCTAGGTGGGTTCTAGACATCAGGACTGTTTTCTGGGTGATACAAGTCATCAGCCAAGATAAAACCACTGCTGTAAAGTGATTAACCTTCTATATACTCGCACACTTGGATCCATAAAAGGTCTCCTTTGGATCCAAAACTCTGAGATTATTAAAACAAGCCCTAATACATGGTTTCCTTTCTTTAAAGAGTTCAGATAGTCAACCTGTATTTATATGCATCCCATCAGGATTTTTTTTTTTTTTTTTTTGAGACAGAGTCTCGCTTCTTGCCCAGGCTAGAGTGAGTGCCGTGGCGTCAGCCTAGCTCACAGCAACCTCAAACTCCTGGCTCAAGTGATCCTCCTGTCTCAGCCTCCGAGTAGCTGGGACTACAGGCACAAGCCACCATGCCCGGCTGATTTATATATATAATATATATATACATATTAGTTGGCCAATTAATTTCTTTCTATTTTTATGGTAGAGACGGGGTCTCGCTCAGGCTGCTTTTGAACTCCTGACCTTGAGCAATCCGCCCGCCTCGGCCTTCCAGAGTGCTAGGATTACAGGCGTGAGCTACCGCGCCCGGCCATCCATCAGGATTTTTTAAATTAAACATTTTTTTTACAGAGGCACAGCCCTATCAAATAAGAATATTCATTTAATGAACAGATACAGAATAAAGCATTTTGTTCAACCCTACTATTCAACAAGGTCATGCAAATCTTCAAGTACTCAAGA